CCCCGTCCCTCCTCGCCTTCGCCTCATCTTTTTTTTTTTTTTATTATTATTATTTCGAGCTCCGGTTTTAACCACTCGACGATGTGTCATTACGCCGCTATTGATGTGCAAAGCGTGCGTTTGAGAGCGAACTGCATTCATCGGCTGTGTATTAAATTTAAATCCGTGCCGGACAAGTCGGATATCAGGCAGTCGCCGCCGTCCGGCTCCGACGTGATGAATGCGTCGCCGGTTTATTGTGCTTTTCATCAATGTCGTCCGGTTTTTAATGGACAGTTTTAATTTTCCTGCTCTTAGGAGCTGCTTTTCTTTTTTTTGTGTGTGTCATTAACGAAACTGAGTTTGATCGAGACTCCTCCAAACCGATCTCACAGCTGGGATCTGTTTATCGTATAACAGCGACAACCTTTACGAGCATTAACAACCGTTTTGTGGGGTTGTTTCGTCCCTTCAGGCTGCAAACATGCTGCCCTTAACCTGTGATTTCTGGAGATTTAACACCTGAAAGACAACTTTCAGGAGTTAAAAACACATTTCAAACCCTTTTGCATGTTTCCTGGCTGTAATAATTTGATCTTTATCCAGATTTACAGTCGAATCCTTCAGAAATATGTGCAAAAAAAAGCAGCAGGGTAATTTCTTTACTTTCAAGCTTTTATCTTGCTAATGAACAGGGTTAGCCACACATGTGACACCTTGTTTTTTCCAGAACAGGTGTGTCCATGCAGGTGTTCCATCATTTTGCATGATAAAGTTTGCAGATTATTTATATTAGCCTTTATATAAAGGGAAAAAGACTATTTCGTCTAATAAAATTGTGATGTTTTTGCATGTATCTCATCTTAAAATAGTGGCAGCAGAGATGTCTGTACATGAACACGTAGGGGAGACTGTCTGGAGTCTGGAAATACCAGAACCATGATGGTGGGAAACTTAGAATTGGAGAAAAATACACATACAAGTGTACAGTATTGTACTTGCAAAGGCGGTAAACCAGGCGAAGGACCTTTGCTGGGTAGGTCACGGCATCCTGTTTCATTTGATGTGTGTTACATCTCGCTGCGATAAATACTTCAAGAGCGACTCAACCGAGCAGAAAGAGACGAGAATTTGGATGCAAAGTGCGTCCGTTGGGCTCCGAGGGTGAGAGGAGGTGGTGGTGCTGCCGAGTCATGTTTGGATCTCGAACGGAGCGCAAAACGGTGACGCGGCGTTTTTTTTTCACGCCGTCCCGCTCAGAGAAAATGAATTAAAAAAACCCAGAGTATTAGCTCGCAAAGTAGCTTTTAAATCAAAACCCAGCTGCGAGGATGTAAATATAACCGAAGAAAAGTCCACATCAGTCAAACTAAATGTGATTGTAAGGAGCCTGAGTGCTTTAATAATGCAGGAATTTACACTAATACTCTCGTTAGGCCGCCATAACCATGAAAAACGCCGCCGCCGGTTTCATCACCGTGTCCTATTAGTTGATATAAATGTCAACGAATGCAGAAAACCGCCTTCCTGCGCGCTCGCTCGCTTTGTTTTATGTTAAAGGTGGAAGAACCTCCGACTGCATCGCGCCTCCTCCACTCCTAAAACCCAGATTTACCGCCAGCTGACATCAAAAAGCTCCAAACACAACAACCAGAGATGCTGCAGGAGGGAGAAGGAGGAGGAGGAGGAGGAGGAAGAGGGATGACCAGACAGAAAAAAGCAAAAAAAAAAAAGGCGAAGGGAGGGAGGGTGTTATGGTGTAGAAGAAGGCGATTTCATGTTCCTATAATCCTGAAACTGCTGCAGTATGTGTCCTCCCCAGGGCTGCTTCACACCTCCAACAAGGGATAAGTGACTAACTCTCACAGCACAGGCGCAAGAAAACAGAGCGAATTTAACATACTTCCACGAGCAATTAACACGGTGACTCCGTGCAAAACAACAAGCTTGACTCCGAATCGGGCGGCCCGAGCAGAAATCCGGCGCGCGGCTCTGATGGGATTCGCGGCATCCGCCCCGCACCTGCCCAGGAGGGCTATCCGCTGATCCAACTGACTGAAGCGGGAGAGTGCAGGCGCTCAACTGATGAGATTCCAGTTAGCCGGCGCAGCCAAGGAGAGAGGCGGGGAAGCAGCCAATAACCTGAGCAGGAGGGATCTGGGGGCCTCTAAATATCCACCCAGGGCTACGAGCGCGAGAGCTCCAGCACCGCTTCCTCTATTGCTCTCCCGGGCCGCACGACGGAACAATATTGGAAAACGGAGCGTCAACATGCTTCCTTGCAATCAGCGTCCAGAAAAAACAGAGCGGAAAACAGATGCAGGGAGCAGTTAAACGCGGTTCTGATGGCTGTTGTTGCACAGTGAACATGAAGCGACGGGCGGGACGTATGTTAGGAAAGAGTTTTTGGTTGTTATTAATAACCCGGACAACAGAATGACATCATCTCATGCCGTTACACCATAAAGTTCACAAACTGGACGGCTCCATTACGCCAATTTATCGACTGGTTGAAATATTTTTACAAGATTCTGTTTTTTAGGCACAGCCATCACTGGACGGGTCAGCTTGTAAAACATGCGTCCATGTCCGGCCTTCAGGGTTGCACCACAAAGCAGCGTAGTCGGTGTCATGGTCCTTCTAGACTAAACAGGATTATGTTGTTCCTGTGATGAAACAGTTAGCGTAGCCTGCTACATGTGGCTGATAAAAGGAGGCGTGTTTCCATGATTTCCGTGAGGGCGATGCTCTTTGACTGCTATGTTTTTATAAGTACGTCATTTTTGCTCAGGCTAGTCGGCTTGCTTCCTCTAAATGTAAGTCTGTTTTGTGTTTCATTGCAGTTTTACAAAAAAAGAATGAGATTCACGAGGCAACAAGTAAAATAAGTGGTTAAAAGAAGATGTGCGTCTCTGGAGTTTGTCGCGCACCATGCTTTGATAACTGTCTCGTTATATTGTTTAGCTGACTGGCTAGCTAAAGCCCCGTTTTAGCGAAGTGTCAGCTTGTGTCAGCTGGCTCAGCGAGGCCTAAAACAACATTCAAACCTTATTGGTTATCAGCTGTCTTTGTTAACCAGGTTCTCTTCATGAAACTCTAAATGTGCTCCCATTAAAGGTGACATTTGACACGACATGTGATTCTTCTTCAACACAAAATGAAGCTATCGCTGCTTTTTTTCAAGCTAGGAATATCCTGATTTGGTTTTTCTGCCATCAGTTCTGCCAACAATTGGTCATAAATTCAGTACCGTTTTCTAAAATAATAATAAAAGTAATGCACATTAGTTGTAGTACCTGGTTGCTCCACTAGGTGGCGCATCTTACTCTTCAACACTTTAGCAACCAGAGGAGGCGTCGCTCAGAATACAAGCAGCTCAGGGGCACCATGACAAAGACGTATGTGATGCTTAATGACGTTTAAAACAAGCTAGGACCCTGTTTTGATGTCCTGGTGGCACATGATCTATAACCGAGCCGTGCAAATCCTGTGTCCATCCACTAAAACAGCAATATCAGCACAGGACTAATCCCAAACCAATCAGAACCCAGCAGGTTAGCTGTGCAGCTACCACGGTAGGCTAGCTAATCTTTGTGACATTAAAACCTCCGACTTTAGGGTCAACATAGGTCGCTAACTCTTCAATTCCCCCTAATAGGACATAATCATTCTTTCATCCTTCAGCTCAGGCACATAAAAAGCTCCACGTCGTCTCTGTTTCATGCAGTTCCACACGTCCAAAGTTGGGTTTTGCACATTTCTTTTCACCAGGAAACACTTTCTAGACACGTTCAGGATGCACACGCTGCTTTACGCTAAGACACGATGTCCCCAACAAACAAACAAACAAACAAACAAACTTGCTTCTATCCGAGAATCGTACAAACACAAACCGTCTGGACCAGAGCGAGCATCAGAACATTCTGCACAACTTTAAGCCGCAACGTGTCAATATCCAGAAGAGCTGCTGCTGTTTTTATAGTGACCTTAATACAGCAAATAAGCAGGTTTTACACCATCACTGGTTTCATAGGTCACACTTGTGCACATTGTTTTTATTTTTTACTATATTTGCACATTTCTTATTCTACTTTTTTTTACAAACTATTTATTGTCTGATAGCGTGAATGTACTGGTGGAGTGTTAAAAAAAAAAACTTAGCATGAAAAAAAACTGGCTGTAGAGGTGCCAGAAAACATACACTTTACAAATTTTGGCAAAAATATCCTCAAGATACATAAATTTCTTTACCATGGCAGCAAAATATCTGTAAAATAATGCAGCAAAAGAGTAATTTTGCAGCCGCACATTGCAAAGAACTAGTTGCTATGTGGACATTATTAATATTAATATTTTTACAGTCAAAGTGTAAATTAACGCTCTTTATCTTGTGATTTTAGTTGTTATCTGTAATTTAAAAGAAACAGGGATGATAATAATTTAAGTAAAACTATAATTTTTCTTTCAAACAACAACTAATATCTGTTAAATATTGATGTTTTTGGAAGATTTAAATACAGCAAAACTGTAATTTTAGCTGATATTATCTCTAATTTAAGTAAACAAGGCATATTTGTAAAATAACCAGCAAATTATTTAAAGGATTACACTTAAAAACATTTGTTTTTTTGCAGCGCTGCGACTTAATTCCAATGTACAACAACAAGACAGGACTTCCATTCAGTTCAAGTCCCGTGAACACAAACTAAACCAAATCTGCTCGTGAGAAAAAGCAAAAACCCTTCGACACATGTCGGCGTCTTCACTTGGGCTCCACAGTTTGCACTTCCTGCCACGAGCTAACGCTCGCCCGCTACCGGACGCTCGCACGCCTGCAAACAGCATCAACAGCATCATCAGCATCAGCAGCATCAGCAGCGATGCAACACGCAAACATCCGCACAAACAGACGTGTGCAGGTTTGGGCGGAGCCGCCTCGGGCCGCCGCCGCCGCCGCCGCTGCTGGAAGTGTGTGATTAGAGCAGAAAGTAGGCAGAGGAGAACCGAGGACACACACTCACCCCTGTTAAGGTCTTTATGTTGTGCAGTGCATTCTGGGCTTCAAGGGCAGCTTTCCTTGTGTAAAATGTGACAAAACAGCAGCCTGGGGAGAGAGAAAAAGAGAGAGAGGAGGAGAAAGAGGGGGGATGAGCATAAGGAGCAACAAAGAGCATTTTCTCTATTCATCTGCTTGGCATCACCTGTCGACACTGGCAGACGCCGAGCGAATGTTAAGGACAAAAACATCCGAGCGGAGGGGAGGCGGAGAACCGCGTTTGGATTTGTTTCAATGCTGATGACTCGAAGCCTCCGGGAAGCTCGTGCTCGGCGGCGTGCGAACAGACGACAATGAAGTAAAATAAAAAAGAAGAAAAAAAAGAAAAAAGGAGGAGGAAGATGTGGGAGCAGCGGTTGTCGTCTCTTCATTAATCCTTGAGTAATCAGCGAACAGTTGCTTTATTCTAAAAGGAGGCATTCATTCACTTATTTACGGCGCCTCATTCAGGAGCTCCTTCCTAAATTATTTAGCGACACGCAGGTCAAATAGAAACCTGACAAAACATCCAGGAAGTGAAGAAGCAGCTTTTAGACGCCGACATGTCAAAGAAGCTGCTCCACAGTCCATCAGTGGCTTAAACTTGTGAACTCCACATTTATTTATCAGAGCAAGAAACCGTAAAAACAGAGAGAACCGCTGGAGTTTCGCTTTTCCGCTGGTCCCTGAACTACTCATCAAGCTTAACCCCACATAAAATCATTTTAGTCTCATTTAAAAATTAGCCAAAAATCAACCCTTTACTTTTGTGATATTCTGTAAAAACCTAAAAATTCTTCGCTCCTCGATGCAACTGTGATGTTTTTAGTGACTCGACTGTCACAAATGTTCATGTCATGAAAATTCATGGACTTCTCGACTGAACTGCAGGCAGTGTTCATACAGAGCAGCAAGTATGGGGAAGAAAAATATAAAAAATAAACAGTTTGTATTAAAAAAATTCTGTAAAAAACAAATAATTCTGTGCATTTTGATGCAAGTGTGAAGTCATGAGTGACTCGACTGTGACCGACAGCGACACGACAAATATTCATGGAGCTTTCGGCTGAACTGCAGGCAGTGTTCATCCAGAGCAGATAGAAAACTAATTAGAAATGACTTCAAACTGACACAACTACAACCTGCAAACCAGCCAGGAAACTATATTTTAAAGACGTTGCGCTCGACCGTGATTCAGTAATTTAACCGTCTGAACCCCCAAAAAACCCACCAGCAGCTTTGAAAGATTTGTTGTCTTTAAAATTACACTAACTTACACTAATAATCAGAGCCAGAAACTGTGAAGACAGAAGAATCGTTGGATTTTGAGCTTTCAGCATAAACTCCTCATCTATGATGCACCATTAATTCAGGAAACCAAACCAAATGTGAGCTTCAAATGATGATTTTTCATTAAAATCATTTTATTCTGTGTGTCTCTTTTTTTTTTAAAGTCATAAATGACCTGTTTACAGGAGCACACCTGTAAGAAACAAACACATTTGAGCTAATTGATGCGTCGGAGAAGCCATTTGTGGCTCAACTGCAACCAGCAGTGATGTGAAAAATGAATCAAGGACTTTTCGGCTGAACTGCAGGCAGTGTTCATCCAGAGCAGACAGAAAACGAGCATCGAAACACATCATAAATGACTTTTAAGTTAAATTAAATCCAATCAGCACGGCTAAAACCATCCAGGTAACATGAACGCAGAGACGGTGGTTCAGTAATTTAACTGTCTGAATCCTAAAAACCCACCAGCAGCTTTGAAAGATGATTTTTCAATAATCGTCATGCTGCGAGTAATAAATCCCAATGCACATCGTCAATATTGATAAATGATGATTTATGTTACAGTAAAAGTGCTTTCTTAGGTATGAAAGATGTGAACAAATGCAAACATACTGTAGATATTTCATTATTTATATTTTATGTTTGCATTAATATACATGTTTCCATACTGATCTACTGCTTTACTTCTACACAGCCTGAAGTTCAGCCGAAAATCTTCTCCATGTTATAGTCTGTTGCACCCGAGTCACCAATAGTTTGCACTCGAGCGCACATAATTTTTAACTAAATCTGGTCACGACAAACACAAGTTTTGAATTGACACATGTAGAATAAAGCGATTAATTATGAAATATCACGATTTTAAGCTTCAGTTTGGTGACGTTTCCCAACGAAACGAGTAGTTCAAGGACTGTTGGAAACTTCAAAACCCAGTGACTTTCTGTGTTTGTGGCCCCTGTAGATGGTGTCATATCGGTGAGCTTTAAAATAAAACATCCCAAAACATGTTTTAAGGTTAAACTTAAACTCATTATCCAACAGAAAAATCACATTTTCCTCATTTTTCATGATAAATCTGCAAGAAAAGTCCAACTGCGACTCGGATTGAGGCGTTCGTGGACAGTTAAGAAACTCTCTTTGTATTCAAAACATGTAATTTGAAAAAAAAAAAAAAAGAAAACCAACACTTCCACCCTCGGTTTCGGAGCTATAAAGTTAAATATACGTCAGCGAGCCACAGGTGAGCCTCAGCATCCTCCCTCCAGCTCCTGCACCGTCGTGTTTGCTGCCTTCCAGCTCCGCTCATCTGTTAATTTTGTATTTATTTGTCCGCCGACGAGCCTGGCGCTCCATTGTTTACATCTGCTTTGTTGTCCTCCCCATTGTGTTTAAAATCAACTCGGCGCGAGCGAGAGCCGGCCGGTTGTCGGGGCTGTTTTTTTTTTTTTTTTTAATTTTTATTCTACATTTCTGCTGCCCGTATCGCACCACGTCAGCCCCGATGACACTTTGCCCTGCAGTGCATCTTAGTGAAATCCAACAGTGAGCATCTGGAGCAGGTTTAGCATCCGAGTCCCAGAGTCCCTTTGATGAGGCTGGGAGCGTAATGGATCTGAATTCCTGCGGTGTCCTCTGGGTGCCAGGGCTGCTGAAAGAGTTGGCCCCTCGCCTAGCGTCAGCAACGTGATTGGTGTTGTGATTCAGACGGCTGTGCAGTGGCTGTGTATTAACGGGGATAACTCTCAGCTTAGTGCCTCGTTTTTTATTTTTTATTTTTATTATTATTCCGTGACCCCCAGCGTGAAAGACAACTCAGGGTGTCACCGCGCTAAACCCCCAAAGCCCTCCGCTCCGACTATCAGCATCAATTTACCACCAAGAGTTTCACACCAGCTCCTAACTGGTTACAGGCGCCGAGATAAGAGGGGAAATTAGTCATGACTGACAGACGACGGCGGGGCAAAAATCTTTATGATATTATTCCATGTAGGTCACCGAACTGACGCGGCACAAAAAAAAAATCTTTAGCTAAAGCGCTGGTTTCCGCGTGGCATCCCATTATGAAAACTGGATGAAAAGTGAAGGAGAAGGTGAAAAAGTAACACAAATATGGGAAAAACATACTAGAAAAGAGATTAAAACCAAAGAAATATTAGTGGTAAATGGGATTATGAGTTGAAAATGATGCGAAAATTCTGAAAACTGCAGATGATCTATCAAAGAAAATGGAAAAAACCAAAGAAAATGGAAAAAATCAGCCCCCAAAATTAAAAATCCTCCTTGCTAATGAAAGGATTGATTACATTTACCCTCTTCTAATGAATAAAAGCCATAAAAGTGTAAATTCAGGTCACGAAACTGATGCGGCACCAACAAATCTTCAGCTAAAGTGCAGTTTTTTTGCAGATCATCCCATTATTGGGATAAAGACTGGACTAAAAGTGAAGAAGAAGGTAAAAAAGTAACACAAATATGTGAAAAAATACTATAAAAGGGAGTAAAACCAAAGAAATATTGGCGGTAAATGTGATTATGAGTTAA